ACTTTCTAAGAGAAAAATCTGAAGCCTTCAAGAAAGGTTTGACCAAGAAATCATTCGTTTTGATGATACAGGTAAAGACAAACCCACCAGAACTCAGAAAAATCATCCATCAGATAACATCATTGGAGATCTAACAGATGGGATGAAGACCAGGAGCAGAGTAAGAAATAATCTGATAGAAATATCCGGATCTGCTTGCTATACCTCAAAGATAGAACCAAAAAATTTAAAAGAAGCTTTACAGGATGATCTGTGGATCAAGGCAATGCAAGAGGAGCTACATCAGTTTGACCGAAATCATGTTTGGGATCTAGTACCAAGACCTGATCGTGTCAACATAATTGAAACAAAGTGGATCTTCAAAAATAAAACTGATGAAGCTGGGAATATTGCAAGGAACAGAGCTCGGTTAGTGGCACAAGGATACACTCAGATAGAAGGAATTGACTATGATGAAACGTTTGCTCCTATGGCGAGACTAGAGTCAATTAGAATTCTGTTGGCTGTCGCATGCATTCAGGGATTCACACTGTTTCAGATGGATGTTAAGACAACGTTTTTGAATGGATATCTGTATGAAGATATCTATGTGGCACAACCTAAAGGCTTTGAAGATCCAAATCATCCATCACATGTCTACAAGCTCAGAAAAGCTCTCTATGGTCTTAAACAAGCCCCACGGGCATGGTATGAACGACTGACACAGTATCTGCTACAACATGGTTATAAACGAGGAAGTGTTGACAAAACGTTGTTTGTAAAAACCACTGGAATTGAAGTCATGTCACCATTGCTCAGATCTACGTGGATGACATTGTGTTTGGGTCAACTTTACAGAAATACGTAGATGAGTTAGTGAAAGTCATGAAGGAAGAATTTGAGATGTCTATGGTTGGTCAACTGACGTATTTCCTAGGATTGCAAGTTAAGCAAAGCCCTGAAGGGTACTTTATCTCACAAGAAAAGTACGCTAAGAATTTAATCAAGAAGTTTGATCTGGAGTCATGTAAACCATCCAGGACACCGATCTCCACCTCCATAAAAGTATCCAAAGATGACACAGGTGTATCAGTGGATAACACAGTCTACCGAAGTCTGATAGGAAGTCTGTTGTACCTGACGGCTAGTCGACCAGACATAATGTTCAGTGTTGGAATATGTGCAAGGTATCAATCTGATCCAAAAGAATCACACCTGATAGCTGCTAAACGAATTCTGAAATATATAAAAGGAACGATTCAATATGGACTATGGTACTCCAAGGACAGTGAACTGAGTCTGGTTGCATATTGTGATGCTGACTGGGCAGGAAATATTGATGACCGAAAGAGTACTTCTGGTGGATGCTTCTTTGTTGGTAAGAACTTGGTATCATGGCTGAGTAAGAAACAAAATTCAATTTCCTTAAGTACTGCAGATGCAGAATACATAGCTGCTGGTGGATGTTGTACTCAGCTAGTATGGATGAAACAGATGCTTTTAGATTATGGTCTTACTCAAGGAATTATGACACTCTACTGTGACAATGTCATTGCAATCAACATCTCAAAGAATCCAATTCAACACTCCAGAACGAAGCACATTGATATTAGGCACCACTACATCAGAGACCTGGTCGAATCTAAGGAAATTGAATTGGAGTACATTCAAACAGATAAGCAACTGGCTGATATTCTGACCAAGCCCCTAGATGCAAATCGTTTTGAAATTCTCAGATCTGCTCTGGGAATCTGCAGGATTGACTAATAAAGTAGTTAGTCGTTCAGAGGGGAGTAAATGGTTTAATTATACGGGTCAGATTTAAGCTTTGACTTCCTTTTAAATCTCCCTTCTATTTTGTTAAGTGTATATCCTAACCTAAATTACCATAAAGCTTTTGGCCTTTTTCATACATAGGAAACTACACACGAGCCACGAGTATTTCAATCCAAAGACCCATCTTTATTCAATATTCATAATACAAGGCATTCACACGCCAATAGTTATTGCGTGGACCGAGATGCGCACAATTGTGTGGACCACGGTTTAAAAATGACGTCGTTTTGCGTTATTTTTTTACGCGACCAACTGCAACATACATTATATTTTTATAACTCATAATATACATTATTTGAAAACATAATGTATATTATTCAAACTCATAAAATACATTACTTTATTCAGTAGTTTTATTATTCTCAACATATAATGTACATTATTATAACACATAAGGTACATTATTCTGTCACATAATATACATTATTTTAATAAATAAAGTACATTATTCTTACTCATAATATTCAACGATGTCATTTTGGACAGCGGTCCATAAAGGTCCACACAATAATTTGCCTCACACGCTCACCAGGCCTACTCGGTTACTCACGTCCAAAACTCTCAACACTGCCTACAAAATGCTATTTATAGAAGGACGACGGTTATAAGGTCAATTATATAAAAATATTGGAATTTCATAATCCAATCTGCTTAATCGCCACACGCATGCAATTAATAAGAATGCCAAGATAACGGTGCTCTTGGTGATTAGTTCTCAAATACAGTTGAGAAAATGATTTGAGCAATATAATTATGCACCCTCATCCATGGTATAAGGATCGATAAACTCTCTAACCTTTTTGGTACATGTCTTTAAACTAAAAACTTGTGATAAATAAAAACCATCAATTAATATTTTTTAAACTAGCGTATTAATTATGACAATTATTTTTGGAGTAGCCTACCTGTTAACTTTTTTTTTTTTTTTTTTTTTTTTTTGGGGTAAAAGGAAGGGCCTAAGGCCCCGAGAGAGTTACATAAATTGAAAGTTACATTTTTAGTCATTAATTAAGGTACGTAAGACTATTGTTCAATTTTTGCAAATATCATCTTGATTAGAAATGTTTTTTTATTTAATATTTTTTTTTAAAAGCGTTTTGATAATTTTTCTAGGGTTTTCACGGTCAGACACAGAGATTTAAGCCTGCTTCATCAGATGGATGAATAATCCCTTTCACTCAACCACACCCCTAGGTTATTTTGATAATTTTTCATTTCTCTTTTATTACATTTTCTCTGTTTACTCTTCAATCACTTCTTACAACCATACCAAACATCAGCAGGGGGATTGGAACTATAAATACACATAAGTTTACATAGTTCTGAAAATAATAAATTAAATTAATTCTAGATAAAATGTTTCAAAAAAATTCGAGATAAATAAATCCATAGTTTAAATAATATTTACCTTTAATTAATTAAAATAACTTATACATGCTCCTCAAAGCTTTCAAAAAAAAAAAAAAAAGAAGTATAAATTTTCACCAGTTTTTTAATGCATCTCCTTGAACTAAAAATTGATAATAATTTAAAATTGTTCCAAATGTTATAGTTGAGAATTCTGCTTTGATTGGCAACCATCCCAGGTGTCACCAATGTTTTCTATAACTATTGTAGAATCTCCAAACAGGTTATAGTCTTTAGCATTGTCATAAACCATCCACTTAGTGAAACAATAGTGTCCCCATCTTCGAAGTTGTGAACAACAAATTGAAGAGGGTAATTCAAATGGAATTGTGGTTGAACCTTGTTGGATAAGTGTAAGAATTTGATTCCTACATTTATCACAAGGTGGTTGTTTGTTTGAACACATTGGTAATTCTTGTACACTTTCAAGAACTCCTGGATCTTCTGAATCAATTATAGCATACGAGAGTCTAATTTGTGCTGTTGTTATTAACAAGCCTAATATAAAATAAATATTCAGTATTTGCATTGCTTCTTTCTCTTTTTCCTTTTCTTATTCTTTTACGTACTTTTCATTCATAGATGCATGCTTAGTGGATTGTATTTATTTATTTATTTTTTAAATGAGAGTACATTTAATGTTAGTAATAACAATTCTAAGAACATGCATCATGCATTTTAATAATTATGATACGTTATTACTATTATCATAAATAATATGAAAAATAATAAATTAAATTGAATGCGTTATTATTGTTAATTAAGATGCATGTGTGTGTGTGTGTTTTCTTTAATAAATTAAAAAACAACTTAAATGTATACATAAACTATAGAGCCAAGCACCGCATAAACTATAAGTCTACATATAACTGTTAATTAGTTTTCATTGTTCTTTTATAATATGATTTTATTTTATTCCTAATTATTTATATAACATTTATTTATCTTTTACCTTATATTTATTCAATATAAGTTACACATCTCATAAGAGTTCATAGTATCTCATTCATATACACAACAAGGTAAATTTAAAGTTTCCTACACTATAATCTCATTGCACGATGTATCCCTCTATGCGGTACCACCAGTAATCTAATTGCACATGACACACTATTAATAAAAAATAAAATAAAAAAGAAGACGTGTACTGGAGATGATGACAATGCAATGACAATGCTACCCAAAAAGGAATTAAGAAGAATTAAAAAATTTTAACCAAAAGTAATATTTATTTAGATTATCGCTTTTACACTAAGTATTTAGATTAACATTATTACAAAGTTGTAAATATTTATTTTAGTGACATTTATAATCAATCATCATACATTATCTTGCATTTATATACTTTAAATTACCGATTTAAATAGACAAATTCAGCATTGATTTACCTATGCATGAACATCTCATATACTTTGAAATACTTATTTAAAAATAATTATTGGGCATTATCCCATTCGTGCAAAGCACGTAAAAAAAAAAAAAAAAAAAAAAAAAAAAAAAAACTAGTTTATAATACAAGGCACTCACACACCAATAGTTATTGCGTGTAGCGTGGTCCACACACCGCTGTGTATCACAGTCCAAAAACGATATCGTTTTGCGTTATTTTATTTTATGCCACCCACTGCAACATACATTTGTATAACTCATAATGTACATTATTCTAAAACATAATATACTTTATTCTAACTCATAAAATACATTATCTTACTCAGTAATTTCATTATTCTAACACATAATGTACATTATTATAATACATAAAATACATTATTCTAACTCATAAAGTACATTAATATTGTTGATACAATAATTTGCCCTTACACACTCATAGGCCTACTCACAACCAAAACTCTCAACACTTCCTACAAAATGCCATGGACACGCTATTTATAGAGGGACGACGGTTACAAGACCAATTGCCTAGCCAATCAGATAAAAGCATTTGAATTGCAAAATCTGATCCTTATCCACTCTGCTTAATCGCTTGACTGGCTGGAACCCAAACCCCAAGGTTCGCACTAAGTCCCGCCAAAACACACCAAGACGTTTCGCGCCCCAAATCGTGCCAAGGCTACCCGACTTGCGCCCTTGCCACTTCGCATCGGCAGGCTATTTCTCGCACGGGCGCACCAATCACTATGATACGTTATAACAATTATGATGACACGTTATTACTATTATTATAAATAACAATAAATTAAATTGATTACGTTATTGTTAATTAAGATGCACGTGTGTGTAATGTGCGTTTTCTTCAATAAATTAATAACTTAAATGTAGGAAACAAATTCTTACACTTAACCAACAAGGTTCAATCACAATTCCATGAGAATTAGTGAATTACTTTCTTCAATTTGTTGTTCACAACTTCGCAGATGGGGATACAATTGTTTCACTAAGTGGATGGTTTATGACAATGTTAAAGACTATATGATTTTAGGAGATGATATTACAATTTTAGGAAACATGAGGAGGACATGGGATGGTTGCCAATCAAAAATAATTTAAAAACCCTAGTCAAATATTTGAACAAAAGATTAAATTGTAATTGTTAACTTACCAAGTGCTAGGTTCGAACGATCGCACACACACAAGGAAATTTAGGAGTAACGTAGAAATGCTCTATTGGGTTGGGATTTCTCCTTTTGGAAAGAAGAATTTTATACGTCATTTCTTATTCCTTGCTTATGTAGCATATTCTGATTCATCTAAAAAAATTAGCAGGTCACAATTTTTATTATTTTCTTTATTTTCAATCAATTACACATGGCGAGAGTTTTACTCAATGTGAATACATGTATCATTTTCCATCTTGGATTCCAATTCTCAATGCATCTTCACCCATTTTAATTTGTCTATTTTGTTTCTCCCAAGCCTTCTTACCTTAGATGATTTATATTGAGTTAATACCAGCTTAGGTTCTTCGACTATTGTAATTTATTTAAAAATGTCATTTATTTAATGTTTTGCTCGATTTAGTCCCCTAACTATTAGAAGGTTACCTTGTTAGGTGCTCTGTTAATTTTACCGTTAGTTAAACGTTAAAACCTAGGGACAAAGTTGTCTTTTCATGTAAAATATTAAACAGATGATATTTTTAAGCAAATCGTAATAGTGTAGGAACCATAGGCCAATTATTACGAATAACTCTTTATATTTTTAATATTTGCAAGATTTTCACACATTTTATGTCCTATAGTTTTAAAAAGTATTTTTCTTTTTTTCACATTTCATGTCACGCTTCCCTGCTACCTAGATGATAGACAATCAAGGTTGCAAAAAACGTTAGGTGCCCCCTAGGCGCCGGCTCATTCAAGTTTTCAAACTCATTTTGCACCCTATACGCAAGAGAGAACACTTGTGCTAAATGAGTTTAGGGTGCAAAATGAGTTTGAAAAGTTGATGTTATTAGTGCTAATAAACTCCATTTTCCCCTCTCCATTAGTGCTAAAACATAGATTTTTCTTAAACATTGTTGTTGAGATTATTTCTTAAAATTAAATCTCGTTATTTTGTTTTATGTTTTGATTTATACGAATTATTTGAGACCAACACTAGTGTCTATTACCTAAGTAGCAGGGAAGCGTGACATGAAATATGAAAAAGAAAAATACATTTTAAAAATATAGGATATAAAATGTGTGAGAATCTTACAAATATTAAAAATATAAAAAGTTAGTACCAATTGGCCTATGGTTCTTAAACAATTACAATTTACTTAAAAAGTCTGTTTAATTTTTGAGCCCTTAATTTTTTTGCATGAAAAGGCAACTTGTCCCTGTGTGTGTTTTACGGTTAACTAACGGCAAAATTAACAGAGCACCAAACAAGGTAACATTCTAATAGTTATGGAACTAAATTGAGCAAAAAAATAAATAAATGACCTTTTTAAATAAATTCCAATAGTCAAAGAATCTTTGGTGGTAATAACTCAATATAAATCATCTAAGGTAAGAAGAGTTGGGAGAAAAAGAAAAAAAGACAAATTAAAATAGGTGAAGATGCCGTGAGAATTGGATTCCAACACATGTTTACCTTCAAGAGATAAGAGAATTTCAAGAGATAAAACAGGAAAAATTGGATTCCAACACATGTTTACCTTCAAGAGATAAAACAGGAAAAAGAAAGCAACCCTTGAAGTCCATGGGAATGTAATTTACCTTCATCATCTCCTTGCCTATTATCAGCAACATAATTTCCCCGCATCCCACACCTTGGTTGATGTATGGAGCTCCATTTGGTCTCTTCACTAGTGAAAACTTACAAAAGTGATGAGTTTGTATTTGCTGTAATTAAAGTTGTCCTATTGGTAATGTCAACTTGCTTACATAAATGTACAAATAATAATGCTGTCTAAAAATGAATAAATAATAAGAAGCATCCAAAAAGAATAAATAATAAGAAAAGTTGTCAATTATTGATATTGAGTCATACATGGAATAAACAAGTTTAAAATACATAATAAAAGTTCATACGCACCTCATCCAAAGGAGCAAATTTCTCAATATAGGCATCACATGCTTTGAGAATGTAATAACAGCGCCTCCTGAAGTGCTCTTTGAAAAGTTCTTCAAAGTCCTACATACAATCATGAGATTAATTGGAAAACTCAATTCTCCTTTGAAGAATTAATGCCAAAGAACCAATTGTAGCATCAACACAACCATCAGTTTCAACTTCACATGCAGAAAATTATATTAAATGCAATCAAGAGTCACTTGGCAAAGTGAATCCATCTATTAAAACCAAATATATCCATCATTAAAATCAAAGCATATGAATTGTTTCAACATGCATAATAAGAACTACATAATTCATCATAGTTATGGAAAAGTGATAAAAGATATCATTATACCAGGCAAGTTATTCTGAAGGAAGATCCAATCCTGTTGAAATATCCTAAGCCACTTCCTTCCAGCATTGTTCTACAAAAATAAACAACAGTAGTACATAGACCAGTTAGAGTTTCGTCGTAATGTAAAAAACATTTTTTTGCAAATCCAGCTAACTCTATGTGAAAATTGATCAGATTTACTAATACTAATAAATAAATAAAATAAAATAAAATAAAAGGTGGAAGCTTAAGGTACAAAAGACCCTAAGAAGGAAAAACAAAAACGAGTACCAGACAAACCCATTTGAAGTAAAACTCTGGATTTCCAACTTCTCCGACCAATAAATCTTGCCTTAATTTTACTTAACAAAATTTTATGTGATCCACTTACAAATAATAAAAAGAGAGATTGTTTGAAAACCTCAGCTTCCACGCTTAGATGAAGATACAGTACTGTATAGTGTGTGTGGTCATCAAGAAAAAAGGGAGGGTATTAGTGAAGTTGCTCTTGGACAACATTATTTCCAATCAACCTGACCACATCGCAAGCACTTTAAATATTTAGTAGAGCTATAACCATTACCTTATTTGTTTCACATAGTCAAGGATTTGGTTGAAATTGGTTTTCCTTCCTATAGTATCCCTCCCTGCAGCACCAATACAAAATCAAGTGCTACCGGCCTCTTTTGCCTGCCAATGCATTAAATGGGGGACTTAACTACATAGCATGAGAACATACATTACAGAAGTCTTATCCCATTATTTTCCTGGTAAGAAGAATAATATATCACCAATGACCAACCTGTCTTACCTAATTTGGAATAAGTATACCACCTGCATAAATATCTATTGATCACATTGACCCATCCCATGTCAAATTTCAGAACTTCAATTTCTAGCATATCAAATTGATGGAAGATTACTATGTGGTTATACTTATATCATATTAATATTTACAAAACTGTAAACCTACAACTAGTATTTACCATGTGGTCCAAAAATGATGCCATATTTATTCCAAATGTAATTACAGTGAAGTAAGAGTACAATTCCAATTCACAGTGACACTTATAAAAAAAAATGAAAAATATTTACAATTCAAACAAAAAAGATTAAAAGATTTTAATAATTGCATAGGAATTTTTTTTTTAAATGCACCTTTTTTGCTGCCTCTAGAATGGAATCCTTGCCCATAAGCTTGTGGCTTTGACACCAGTGTTGTACCTGGAGGATTGAGGACAGTAAGAGCAGTCCTCGCTGCAACCTCCCGTCTTTATAGACAGAAGAGTGCACTGATGTACCTCCCAGAAGTTGAGAGCATGCCTATGAACTTGAGCCTGCAAAAGCAGAAACATATCAGAAATGAATGGTGCATCCGCTGACAAGACAGAGAGAAATAGGGAGGGAGCTGACGCCGTGAAAGAGGAGATCGAGAAGCGGGGAGTCGTAAATGGACTTGATTTCAGGCCTGATCCAGTCATGTCTTGGACCTTCCCTGATGCATGCCGGGATTCATAATCATTTTTCCCCAATCCGGCCAGCCTCAACCCGCCTCTTCTTTGAAATTATTCCACTCAGAAAATTAACACCAATTCAGCTAAATAGCTAATACACAAACACAAAGGAAAATTATACAAACCAAGTTCATGCTGTTGCTTGAATAAACTCTTTGCCATCTCAAAAAAAAAAAAAAAAAAAACAAAAACAAAAGATGATGTCAATTGATCCAAGAAGTAACATAAAAGAGAAAAATGTTATTTTTCTCATTGGCATATCACTTCAACAATTAGGTTAAAAATTTACCTCTATAGCAAGCAAACTTTAGTATACAAGATCTGCAAAGAAAAAGAAAGAATAAAATAAAAACAATATCCATGATTTCTTTTTTTGAGAACACATATCCATGATTTCTAATAACCAAAATTTTAAGTCATACAATAAGTTAAGACTGAAGTTGTTGATCAAAAAGTGCCCCAACGTAACATAATTTCCCTATGCGTTACCAGAAAGAATATCATAAATGGGCAAATATACACAAAAAATCACAATCATCCCTCCAAATTATCTCTATCAGAAGAAAAACCTCATGAAAGCACCACATAAAATACTGCAATGAAATCCAAAATGAGGAAACAAAGGATATAAAATCAGCAATCTCATATGCGAATGCAGTTAGGCATTACTTTCGCAGACACCACGCCAGTGACAATTTCTTTCACGGGCTCCCTCAAAAGCTTGAATTCGAGACTCTACCCAGCAAACACCCCGCTGAGTGTTGATCATTCTCTAGTTTTCGCAATTGGTGTTGGTGTCAATCCATGCCTTGCTTGCTCAAGTGGAACCCGGGTTGTTGCAGTTATCAACAGTGTTCGTGAGCCCAAGGCCTTTTGAAGTGCTGAAGCATTTCTAATTGAGAATTCACAATCAGTCCCTGATATAAAGCCAAACAAGTTTTACCGGTGAAAATGGTAAGTTCATGGCAGTAGTAAAGAAAATGTGCATTATTATGAAGCTAGTCAAAATTGATGAGATTAGTGCAAGTGCCTTTGAGTCGACAACTCAAATCTTTTTTCGAATTTCATCTAGCGCAACCCCTGACTGCAAAAGTTACACAGGCAGTATGAATATCGAGAAACCAGAAGAGAAAGAAAGTGAAATTGAACTAAGGCATGCAACAACACAAAATTTAGTACCTTCTTTGAAATTTCAAGTGCAATAAGCTCAACTATTCCAGTTCCAACCTTCAGTGGTTTAAACAAAATGTGGTTTATACAATTGCATAATTCTAGCATTGTAAAAAAATTCATTAAAAGATGAACAAGCTCACCTCTCTGGCGCCTAGGAACAAGAAAGTCTGGTCAATTAACGCTCCACCAAGTACTTTCAAAGTTGAAATGAGCCCAGCAAGGACAACATATGATGTTCCCTGTGATATAATTATACACATGCTTTCAATTTATATAACTTAACAAGATAACTAATTCACAATAGTGAGTACTTTGATGTTAAACTAAACAAAATTTCAATAATAGGACTGAAATTGAGGAGCTATGCAGTTGCGGGCAACCACCAATTTGAAAAATGACAGTGTGTATAGAAGTATAGAATTCACAATTACTAAATATAATACTAGTCTCAAATCTTCATTGATCATGAACCCGGCCTAATGGAAAAGAAACAAAGAGTCCACAATTACTATAACTTTTTTATTAGATATATTACCGTGATTCCGCCACTCTCAAGAACTTGAATTCCTCTAACCACAACCAACTTGGATTCTAGCAAATTACAGTGAGTCAAAATGACAGGAAGAAACTATACATAATTTTTCCTTGATATTGAAAAATCATAACCAATTGTGTGGAAGATAAATGAAAATGCATGCAGATTAGAAAGAAAAGAGGAATTTGATGAAATCCTACTCGAAGGAAGTGTTACGAGTGAAGAATCGAAGACTTGAGCTGATTGTTTTTCCTGCTCATTGTTGCTAGCTGTAAATTTTTCTCCATTCTAGCTAGGTCTTGAAGCCTTCATCTCTCTCTCTTCCCCTCTTTTTCATAAACCAATAGAGATTTGGACAAAAGAGGCCGACGGTAGACGATTAGCGAAAAGATCTAGTTGGGAGAAAGAAGTGATGTTTTAGAAGTTCCTGTCCGATTGTCATTAAAATTAAAATAAATTAATAAATAGCCGTAAATTATCTGTCACTAAGAGCATCCACATTAGTTGGGGAGATTTGAGAGATAATGTAAGAGTAATTAGGAAAGAGAATGTGGGATGGGAGAGAAAAAAAGAAAAAAAATAACAAAACAAAAATTGAAAAAAAAAATAATTAAAACCTGCCGCGTCAGGCGCACTGTCAGCGCGCCAGGCGCGCTACACGGGCGCGTGCATTGCACGCGCCAGTTTTTTTGTTTTTGTTTTTTTTTTGTTTTTTTTTTCTTTTCTGACATTATCTTTGAACTTGCAGGACAAATATTTTTCACAAATAACCCCACCCCACATTTGTTATTATCCCCACCCAAGATAATTCATCTGACATTATCTCACTAATATCCACTGATGTGGATGCTCTAAGTGAAATTTCACTATTATTTCTGACCACCGTACGATGGTCGGAAAAAAGTATTTTTAAAATTTTAAAATAATTGAAAAATATTTCCGACCACATTTAAATAGTGGTCGGAATTTTCGGACCACTTTCTGACCAGTGCAAGATTTGGAGGAAAAACGAAAAAAAAAAATCATTTTTTGTGACTTTTTTTGGGTGGTCGGAAATGAGGTCGAAAAAATGATGATTTCCAGCCGTGCAAGGTGGAAAATGATACATGTATTCTCATTGAGTAAAACTCTTACTATGTGTCATAATTTGATTGATTGAAAAGAAAGAAAATAATAAAAATTGTGACTCGTCACTAATTTTTTAGATGAATAAGAAAATGCCACATAAACCAGGAGTAAGAAATGGCGCTCCATACTTATCATGGACTAGTTACGTAGTATTACTTTTGAGGATTATGTGAGAGTATGTTATATTCTTTATGCTGATGTTTTCTTTGCAAAATATTCTATTAAATGGGTATGAATATTTCATGTTAAAGTATGTAAAAGGTTGCAATTCATTACGATTGTGAACTCTATTTAGTCTTTAAATTTTAATTTATTAATAAAATCATAAAGAAACACGTCAAATTATATCAACTCTTCACTATAATCTTTATCTTTTCAAAGTTAACTCTATTTCTAAATATTGTATGAGTATGGGTTCTTCATGTATATCATTTAAAAGTTAATTTTACAAATTAATGATGCCTGCATGCATAAAATTTAGAAATGAGTTTCTGTTTGACAAATTTTCAATTTGAAAATAATAATAATAATAATAATAATAATAATAATAATAATAATAATAATAGTCTAACTAGATATTTTAGGTCCAATCTTCTTAGGCCCAAATTATAATTTAATCCGTTAAGTTTTAATTGGACTTAGTCTTTCATTAGCCCAATAATAATTGTTTTTAAGCTTGAGAAGTCCAATAGGGGGAGGGTGGCAATTTTATGGCAAATTATTGTTTGGGCCATGGTTTACATAATGTTATCTAAACCATAACAAAAAATACATTTTTAATATACTAAATATATATTATTTTTGTACTGAATGTACATTATACAATATAATGTACACTCAGAACAAAAATAATGTACATCTCCTGAATACAATGTACATTATTTTACAGTAGACAAAATATGGTCCACACAACTTATGTGAACCACGGTCCACACAATAATGATTGAATTTATATGGCAATAATGATTTCAAAGATTATAAATCAAGAAATTTAAAAATGATTTGATTTTAATGCATTTAAAAAAAAAACAAATTTAAGTTAAGTTTTTATTTTTTTTTTCGTTTAATTAATCTTATTTTGATTAGTTAGAACAAAACTTAATATTTTAATTATATTTTTGCATTATTGGAATGATTTAGGTCGTTATGGTATTAATATTTTTGTATGGTATTTTTTTATAATGGTACAACTTTATAAATATTATACTATTATTTTTTTATTGGACAAAATTGGTGTTACATCATTGTCAGACCTGCGCGACCTAACTACAAAGTTGTTGATCATAAATACAATTACACATGGACTCTAAAACGATAGGACCATTTTCCAAAGAATTGACAATGTTGACATCCCATTGGCTCCACTTGAACAAGTTTACACATCAAAATTTTATCAATGCATGAAAACTTCTAACGATATTTGTACGTTAATTTTTACTATATCATTATAATAATATTTATTGTAACTATATATTTTAAATTATTTATTATCATCCTCTATTGACAAGAATTATAACAATTGTCATTGACAAACTCTAAAAACAATTTGTCTCAACAACGAATGAGAATTTAAAAAAAAAATCAAAAATGATTTCATTATTATTGATGAAATGTATGTACGTCACTTTATTACTCTTATTAAATTAAATAAATTAGTAGCTACAACAAAAAATAATACATATGTATTTAATTAATTTAGAATTATATGTCTATAATGCATTTATTTAAAAAAATATTCATTATAAAAAATTTAAAAAGAGATATAATTTCATTAGTTATATTATCTTCATTTTCTACAATTCAAAGATTCACTACCTTCAAATTTATTAATTTATTATATTCACTACTTTGTCCATTGTCTTCTTTTTACCTTATCTTGTAATTAAATATCAAAGTTATAATACAAAATATGTTATATATATATTTATTTATCAAATATTTTATACAAATATAATAAATATTAATATTTTGTTCAATACTTGCACATGATAACATACGACACACATCTGACAATGCATGAAATATATAGGGGAAAAACTATCACTAACAAATATCAATAGGTGCTTGTAAGATAAATAGTTCATAGTACAACTAAGATTCCATCATATACACATCAAGGCAAATCTAAAGCTTCCTTAGTACAACTAAGATTCCATCATATACACACCAAGGCAAATCTAAAGCTTCCTACATCATAATCTCATTGCACGATGAATCCTTCTATGCTACCACCAGTAACCCAATTGCACACGACACACTACCAATTAAAAAAAAATGACATGTACTGAAGATGAAGGCAATAACAATGCTACCCAAAAGAGAATTAAGAAGAATTAGATAAATTTAAACAAAAAATAGTATTTATTTAGACTATCGTTTTTAGACTAGTGTTATTAAAAAGTTACAAACATTTATTTTGCGAAGCGCGGGGCGCACATTGCTATGTGCGCCGTGGTGCACGGTATAACGATTGGGGAGAGTCAATCATTATTACATGGATCATGATTCACACAATTGTGTGGACCATAAATAAAAAGTACTTTTTAAAATATTTTAATATACTAAGAGTACATTATTTATGTAAATAAGATACATTTTTTGAAAGTACATTTTTAATAAACTAAGGGTACATTATTTAATATAATGTACTTTCAGTACAAAAATAATGTACCTTCAATATAAAAATAATGTACTTTTAATATATTATGTAGTGAATATAGTCTTCCAAGTATATTATACTGTTTAGCATTAAATATAATGTAAAATTAGAAAATTACACTTTATTTTAGCCTTTAATAGATGTGATAAGTGTAATTTATATATTTGGGAGGGTTTAGGTGAAAACAATCTCTCAAGTAAAAATTGATGATGGAATGTTTTTAATAATTATAAAATTGACTATAATTTTTTATTAAAACCATCAACTATTGATGAACCCTGATATGCGGCCTCCTAAACCTTTCTTCAATACTTTTATTGGAGGGAGTTGTTCTAATTTTAATCCACCCTATATTTGTATATGAAAGGGGGAGGGAGGGGGGAGTAACAACTTTTGTCACTAAGGCACTAATTGAGAACTAATTTAATTTTTTCTTTTTATAATTAAAAAGCAACTTACACTTTTACACTTTTTTATAATATAGTGACCAAAAGTGAAATACAATTTTAATATAGAATATTCCTATCCTTAATTTGTAGGGGTGTTTAATCTCACTCTTTAAAATTGGACTTGCCAATACGCAAACTACAATATGTGTTCAAATTTTTGTAACATATTTGATAATTATTGCTAGTTTGGTTTTAAATTTTTTTCTTTTGCGGCACGATTGGGTAAATCCTACTCTTATATAATAGTACAAATTAGAACCGTACTTAGAAATTCATGTTCGACAAGCTAGCTAGCCCGTAAGACAATATTCAGACTAATGTTTGTTGGTACTGAGTTGGTCCCATTAAGGGACATGGTATTGACCATCCTCAACATTTCTAAAAAGTGACTCCGGCATGTTTTAACATCTCCGGTGACCAGAGTGATTAACTTTGGTTATAAAACAATAGTTGTGGGATGACTTTTGGTAGGAATTAAACATGTGGACTAAAATTGTCATTTTGTTAATACTCGTGGGATGGAAATTGGTATTTGCTCTATTTTCAATTGTTGAACTCTGTATTCACAAATCACAGAATTATATGTTCATAATTTATAATTATACATTTTAGAAATTACGAATATATAGTATATAAAGAGTTAATTCCACCAGATATCTCTTGTATTTGGTGACAATTTCAAATTTAGTCCCAGACTATCGTTTTTGTTATTTAACATCCCTAGACTATTATTTTTGGACACTTTTAGTCCGTCTGATCACTTTTCCTATTTTTCGTAAGGGCATTTTTATCTCTTCATATTTTTCTTTTATAATTTTTTAAGTTTCAACCGGTTTAATTGGTTTATAACTTTAGGTAACTTCTGATTTTTTAGTAATAATATTTTTCAACCGATTTTTAGTAAAGTCCTAAACCAATTAAACCGGTTGAAACCAGAAAAATAACAAATTCACCACAAATAACAAATGAAAAGGTTACTCTCTCCTTTTTGGTTGTTGTTGCATATTACTCTCTGCAATTTATTTTCCTTGTTTACTATATTTTATTACTATCTATCCTACAAATTCACCGGTTATGAGTTAACATATATGCCAACGGGCACAATATTACAACATTAAACTGTTATTAATTTATTAAAGAAAACTTATGTATAACTG